GGCCCTTTCAGGTTGAAGTCCACATCCGGCATTGAAATATTCGGCCCTGAAATTTTTGGCATTTTGAATTTAGGTCCCTTGATTTTTCCATCAGGACCCTCAACATCAAATTCTGGACCTTCAATATCAACTTTAGGTCCTTTAAGTTCAAGGTCAGCTTTTGGTAAGTTGACATCAACATCAGGACCCTCTACTTTGGGCCCTTTAAAGCCAAATTTCGGCATATGAATCTTTGGCATCTTGAATCCCCCTTCAGGCCCCTCCATGTGAACATCTGGGCCCTCAATGTCAACTCTGGGTACTTTGATATCACCTTCCACTTTCGGTACTGACACATCCATGTCTCCTTTCAGTTTCGGCCCTTTCAGGTTGAAGTCCACATCTGGCATTGAAATCTTTGGCCCAGAAATGGTCGGTATCGCGAATTTCGGGCCCTTGATTTTGCCATCAGGTCCTTCAATATCAATTTCAGGACCTTTAATATCAACATTGGCTTTGGGAAGATTCACGTCAACATCCGGACCCTCTAATTTAGGACCTTTTAGGCCAAACTTGGGCATTTTAATCTTTGGCATCTTGAATCCACCTTCTGGCCCTTCAATGTCAACATCTGGGCCTTCAATGTCAGCTTTTGGTGCTTTGATATCACCTTGCACTTTTGGTACTGACACATCCATGTCTCCTTTCAGTTTCGGCCCTTTCAGGTTGAAGTCCACATCTGGCATTGAAATCTTTGGGCCAGAAATTGCTGGCATTTTTAATTTAGGTCCCTTGATTTTTCCATCAGGACCCTCAACATCAAATTCTGGACCTTCTATATCAACTTTATGCCCTTTAATGTCAAAGTCAGCTTTTGGTAAGTTCACATCAACACCAGGACCCTCCACTTTGGGTCCTTTAAAGCCAAATTTGGGCATGTGAATCTTGGGCATCTTGAATCCACCTTCTGGGCCTTCCATCTGAACATCTGGCCCCTCAATGTCAACTTTGGGTGCTTTGATGTCACCTTCCAATTTGGTTACCGACACGTCCATGTCACCTTTCAGTTTCGGCCCTTTCAGGTTCAAGTCCATGTCTGGCATTGAAATCTTTGGCCCAGAAATGGTCGGTATCGTGAATTTTGGCCCCTTGACTTTGCCATGAGGTCCTTCAATATCTACTTCAGGACCTTTAATATCTACATCAGCTTTGGCTAGATTCACATCAACATCAGGACCCTCTACTTTGGGTCCTTTAAATCCAAATTTGGGCATATGAATCTTGGGCATCTTGAATCCACCTTCAGGTCCCTCCACCTGAACATCTGGGCCCTCTATGTCAACCTTTGGGGCTCTGATATCACCTTCCACCTTTGCTACTGACACATCCATATCTCCTTTCAGCTTTGATCCTTTTAGGTTCCAGTCCACATCTGGCATTGAAATCTTTGGTCCAGAAATGCTTGGCATCTTGAATGTTGACCCTTTTATTTTTCCATCTGGTCGTTCAATATCGACGTCAGGACCTTCAATGTCAATTTTAGGTGCTTTTACATCAATGTTGCCTTTGGGAAGATTCACATCAACATCAGGACCCTCTACTTTGGGTCCTTTAAGGTCAAATTTGTGCATTTTCATCTTCGGCATCTTGAATCCACCTCCAGGTCCTTCCATTTCGACATCTGGACCTTCAATGTCAACTTTTGGTGCTTTGATGTCACATTCCACTTTTGGTACCGACACATCCATATCACCTTTCAGTTTTGGCCCTTTCAAGGTGAGGTCCATATCTGGCATTGAAACTTTTGGCCCAGAAATTGTTGGCATTGTGATTTTTCCATCATATCCTTCAATGCCAAATTTTGAGCCTTTAAGGTCAATCTTAGGCCGTCCAATATCTATATCAACTCCAGGGACATTCATATCTATTGAAGAGCCCCCCTCATTGAACTCTTTCATCCCAAAAGAAGGCACTTTCATCTTGGGCATTTTAATTCCACCCTCAGATCCCTCAATCTTGACATCCATACCTTCAACTTTAACATGTTGTTCTCTTATCCCACCTTCCACCTTTGGTACAGACCCACTGATCTCTCCTTTCACCTGTCTCCCTTTAACACTGATGTCCACATCTGGCATTGATGACTTCTGCCCATAAATAAACGGCATCTTGATTTTAGGCCCCTCTATTTGTCCATCGGGTCCCTTAACATGAAATTCATGATCTTCAATGTCAAGTTTAGAACCTTTATGGTCGGCCTCAGCTTTGAAAAGACTTACGGATGGTGCTGAGATTTTCATTTTAGTTTCTTTGAAATTACTATCGGGCACGTTAACATTGAGTTCAGGAGCTCCCACATTTGGCAGTCTGATTCCACCTTCAATTTGCGATATTGACATTTCTGTATCTTTTTTTAAGGTCTGCCCTTTCAGGCAAGCATCTGCACCTATCGTAGATATTGTACTTCCTGATATGGAAGGGATTCTGACAGTGCTCTCTTGCTGCAGAATATCTAAATGTGGACCTTTTATATCAGCTCTGCTGTTGGTGTTTATGTCAGCTCTGGTGAAATCTAGAACACCAGTCATTTTTGGTTCTTTTATTTCTGGGCTGGTTATCTTCATTCCCATTCCTGGTATTTTGATATTAACATCTCCTTTGCTACTTTTTATATCCTTTGCCTTGATGTCTATTTTTGCAGTTGTGATGTCTCCTTTTGGCTGTGGAGTTATGTCAATGTTTGGCCCCTTTACATCAAATCCAAGACCAGCAGTTTCAGTACCTTTCCCAGAAAATGACTGTAAGCCGATTTCACCTTTTGACCCTTTAGTATCTATAATTCCACTTGTTGCTACGTCACGACTTTTGAACCCAAATGCAGGCAATTTGATTCCAACCTTATCACTTTGCCTATCAATATCAGGAACATTAATGTCAATTGTCTGAGTTTTCATTCCTTTTATTATCGACCCAGTCATGTCAGTGTTCAATTTTCCTTCAGTACTCTGACCTGTTATCCCGAAAGACGATACCTTGACTCGCCCTCTCAATTCCTCATCTGAAGCCGATACACCTTTTTCTATGTTAATACCTGGTGCACTGATGCTGCTATCTCCCACCAGCCTCTGCCCAGAAACACTAAATTCCTCTCGTGACCCTGAAATGCCAAAGCCAGGCACCTTAAATCTCACCTCTTCTCTTTCTCCTTCCCTGATTTCACCTGTGGTTTTCACACTCCCCATGGTCCATTTCTTTTCTGAGGAACCAGATGCTCCAAAGCTGATCTGAGGTCCCAAGACATGAGTGGTGTAGCTACCATCATCTCCTGGTTGGTCATGTCGAGGAACTTTAATTTTAAACTCTGGGCTAGAGAGGTCAATTTCTTGCTGGGAAGCCTCTCCAGGTACATCCACAGTGTATGTTGTAATTCGCCGTGTGATGGTAGTGATTGTGTTGCCATCACTGCTGGTACTGCTATGGCGCTCTGTTCGTACATCCACTTCCTCTGCCAGATCCTCTGACTTTAACCGGGGCTTTATCTTCTTGGTGTAAATTCTTCTGTAATCCTCATCATCCCCACTCTGGACAAAAAGGGTTAAGAAATTATGTGTTTCACACATAAAGTAAATAGCAGCTGGAATACAAAGTAATGAAAGCGGTTATAACCAGCCACAATAAACATAAATGAAAACAGAAATTTTGGTTTGTAAAATAAATTCAAATATGTTTTCAATAGTTCGACACTTCAGCTGTATGTAAATACTTCATTTTTCACTTACAATACATCATAAGGAGTCTTTCAGCACTGTACACGCCATATTGACATCCAAGACAATCGTCCTCAACATATCATGGAATTTCACACCTACTAGCTTTTTGTCAAGAATTTTACTTTATTTACTGAGAAAATACTAGCAAATGTGACAAATGCTCTTTCATGTTAAATACATAGTTAAGACAATGATCATGATACTTTGCGTGTATGGTTCTCTCACCAGAATAACGTCTGGACTAGAACTGCCAATCCGCCCTCTTCCTTCCCAGCTTAAGGTGCCCACAGGAGACCGGCACGGCGACTTCTCCCCAGGACGATTCTGTAGTTTTAGTCCAACTTTGTGCCGATTCAGGGTTTTCAGCAATTCAGCTGCTTCGTCTGAACTCATATTGTCGAAGTAGATGGTGGCACCCACAATCTGGTCCCCTTTGATGAAGGGAAGAAGAAACAGACATAGACATACAGACGACGTCCAATCAGTGAGCTTGTATGAAAATAGCAGGCCTGCAACACACATCAATGATAAAACGCAGTACCTTCATACACTCTTCCTGTTCGTGCTGCTGCAGACTCCACTTTCACCTCTTTGACTAAGATCTCGCCCTGGCCTGTCCGCTCGATGGTTAGACCTTGCTCATCGGCACCCATCCAGTTTGGGAAAAGCACCTCCCGCGTGTCTTCGCCCTCCGCCATCCTAAGACAGTGTGAACATCACCAGCATGAACTTGAAAAATGCACCTTTAAAAAAAAATCGGTATAGCCCATCACTAACTAAAATTAGTTGAATAAATTAGGTTACTTTAAATGACAAAGATGCAGACCCTTTAGCATAAATAACAAATTCAGTTAACATTTTAACAGAGCAAAAACTAGGAGTGAACTTGTGTATGATGAATCAATACAGACTTAGCTCTCAAATAAAATTAAAAAAAAAGAGTAAATTTTATTAAAAGTAATTTATTTAAGGCAAAGCAGTTGCTTGTGGTACCTGAAGTTTATTTTGTCCTCTTTCCTGGAGTGGTGTAAATCAGCCTCAGATCACTAAAAACAGGCAAGAGAGACTTAAATGAAACAACGTGGAACTACATTTTACTACTCAGTTGATAAAAAGTGAGCAGCCTTACATTTAACACATTATCTCTTCAACACAACATTTAAAATTTAGTTTTAAGTTTGTGGTAAATGCTGATAAATTCTATTTGGCGATAGGGTATTTTTGGTAAATTTGCAACTCCTTTTTTGCTTTATAAATATCTCAGTATTTACTGCAAAAACTACAACTGAGATATGTGAAAACCCAGGAATTTACTACACTACAGAAAATAATTCAACTTAAGCATTCAGAACTTTCATTTCTCATCAATACATATCTCTTCAATTTTTCAGTTCAGTTGTTCACCACTAGGTGGCAGGGCAAGTGGCACTTGGGCAAGAAAGTCTCATATCATATAACTAGTCCTCCCATTCAACAAGTGATTCTCTCTGTCATCATCTCTTGCGTGCTCTCCCCCTCCATTGTTATGGAAAGCCAGAGAAAATGAGGCCACACCCTGCCTACTAGCAAAACAGCACAGGGTGTAACGTGCACCTAAACACCTCAGCTCCAACAACACCAAGAACAATAATGGCCACAGCTGCCGCTGTATCCAACCTCTTTCTCCGACATTCACTTCAAAAGGTCCTGCTGCCACAGAAAACCAACACATGCTATGAATCCAAAATGATGCAGAAAACACTGCATGTCATCACCTGCTGTCTGGCAACAAGTGAGTGCGTGGATCGTTGGCCCATTAGAATCCAAAGCAAACACTTTAAAAAGAAAGAACCAAGCTTCGAATAGCAGTAGCACATATTCCAGGATGTCGTTAAACCACAGCCTGGACCAACAATAAATTCCAATATCCGACTCAACTCTTCCAAGTGAGCCCGGCAAAAAAAGATTAATAAAAACATAAAATATTGCATCCATATCTAAAGCGACTCACTTTGTGCAATGAAGTCACTTTATATAAACACACATTTAAAGGCTTGCGTGCCAGAAAGTTCATTTTCATCCCTTACATCTCCTATTAAAGCACCTCCTCTTTCTGCAGCCACAAATGATCAAATAGGGAGATGCAGGGTTAAGTTTAATTTTGCGCTGCCCCACCCTCCCTGTGGCGTGTCCATTATACACACCTGTACCTCATACGGTCTGTAAACACACATGCCATTGTTTTACTAATCACTCACCCCATCTATCCACCCAGGAGGTATTTGGTACATCCCTCTTCTGTCTGTTCTTGGATGCATAGCACGTTGTGCAAGTGTCGGATCGTAAAAAACTAGCAGCACCCTTAGGATAATTAGCTGAGCACAGCTGAATGAGCTGAGCTTATTTTGCTATTAGCTTCACAGCTATCTAAATCTAAAATTATTTTAAGCGGATGCTGCCCATTTATTAATCTGGCAGAAATCATACATACTCCACCACAAAGCCTTTTAAAACAAAAACTTTATTTTAATTGATTTAAAATCAATCCAACATGCTCAAGTGGCAACCGAAAACAAGATGAACATTTTACACATTTCTTTGACTCATACAAATTCACTTATGGCAGCGATACAAAATAACAGAACATTTTTTTTTCCCCATACACTAAATATACATATCAAGATTAGCAATGCATTTGCAATATCCACTGGAATCATATTAATATGTGGGAAAAGACTGACTGCTAAGAGGATCAAAGCAACAGGATGTGAATAACAGGGCTGGTCGTGTCTGTTTTCATAGTGTTGCCTTAACAACCCAAAAGCAGGAAGTAAGAGCAGTCTGACCAGAGACCCTTAGCTTACTCTGCAACATTAAAGGTAAAAAACAGAGTATAAATCCAAGTCAACCCAGTGTGCTGAAAATCTGAAATGTGGTCAGTTCTGCATTGACACAAATGTTTATTTCTATTGTGAATAGATCCTTAAAGTACCACCCAAGACTGCGTACAGACAGCTAGATATAATTCCATCTGGGTAGTTGTGCCCTCAATTGCTTCCTTAGAGGTTTGCTGAGAACAATCCTAAAAGAGTGGCAGGTGTGAAATACAGACCATTGTATAGACTGTGGGGGGGGTGGTGGAGCACCGATCTATGGCAACACTTGCTGGCATGTTGGTTGCAGGCCTGCATGCCATTTGTCACACACAAAAACACCAACAGCTGCAGCCAAAGCAGCCACTGTCCGCTGGGGCCTGTGGAGGCTGTGGGTGAGGCAGGGTGGCACGATACGATGACGATGCTGAAGCGATGTGACGTGTGCATATGTAATAATCACTTCCCTGGACGTGCAGTGTCAAGCATGGCAAATTAAGTCAAATATGGCAAACATTCTACAACCTTTTCGCCGTTTGTTACAAAATGAAAACTCATTTTTCCCATGACTGATCTATGAGAAGTGTCCCGTCATATGATCATTTACGTCGATTTATAGGTTTTCTGACTTTGTTGCTAGTGAGTGACCTACATACACGGCAAATCACCAAACACAAGTATGCGATATTAATATTGCACTGCATGTTATGCACATGCAATTCTCACATCGCAAGGACAGAGTCAGCTGGGTTGAGAATCTTTATATTGTCCGGACCTTATACCGCAGTAATATTCGTAATAAGGTTTGCTAAACACATGGGACCGGGGGGGGGGGGTGTTATAGGGAACAAAACTCAGCAAGTTTTGCAATTTTGTATTAACGGAGTTACTAAATTACACTTGTGCCCCCTTCAAGGTTTACGGTTTACCGCCAATGCTTTTGCAGGAGCTCTGCCTGCGATCTCAGAGACAAGAAAACCAAGCAAGATGGAATCTGTTGGAGCAGAAAGAAAAACGTTCAGATTCCTGTGGCCTGTAGTTCAGATTGTCGAATGGACAACCTCAATAAGGGAGCCTGAGCGACCCCCCCCCCCCCCCCAAAGATAAACCATAACCCTCCCCTTACCGCCAGCTTTCCAGCTTTCATCTACATCTCCTGTTCAACCACTATGTTGTATAAATGAAAGCTCTCTGCTAGTATTTTTATCATAACAAAACAAATATGCAACGACAATCTTTGTCTGCCTTTGCACACTGACTGTGGGTTTGGAGAGGAGACTGGCATATTGTGTAAGGGGGGTGGGGGGGTAGAGACTGGCATATTGTGTAAGGGGGGTGGGGGGGTAGAGACTACCTTGTTAAAACTTGTTCCTATTTCATAACTTGAGAAGTCTATGAAACGCATTGTTTAGCGATCACAGTAAACCGGAGCAGTTCATACCGGCTCTAAGGTGATAGAGGAGAGAGGGGGAACCTGCGGGACTGATAGTAGACAGACCACATTTCACACCTACTGTGAGAGCTGATCCCGTGCACCAGGTCCCAATCTGCCAAAATTTTAAATAGGGTCCCTATTTAGAAACAGCCAGCTAAGCAACAACAAAGATCAGTTACATCTAACATGTACTCATAACTAATAAGTTCGTTCTTTTCGGTTACAAATATGATTAAAAGTCTTAAAATTAATCTAGTCAGACCACATAGTGAGTATGTAGTAGTGATGTAGTAAGAAACAATTCTCACACTCACACACACACACACACACACACACACACACACACACACACACACACAACTAAAAATTGTATAAAAATGTGAATGCTTTATGCATAGCAACAGATTCATTAGCTAAGAACTAGAATTTTTCTTCCTCTAGCCATATTTTCATTGTCAGACGTTTATTCCAAAAAGCCTGGGGCCGGTTGCACAGAACACATTAAGTGTCATACTTAAGGGAAAAACTTAAGTTTTAATTTCTCCTTAGCCGAGGGATTTATTTAAGGGTGCTGCAGAGAATCCCTTTAAAGGTTTCCTTAGTTATGGAAAAACCTAAAGGGATTTACTGCATTAAAGACATTTTACAGCAGTAAAATTGTAGTTTCCACGGAGACCGTTTCTTTGCTTGCGCTCACACCTGCTCATGATACCTGTTATTGCCTCCGGCATTAATTTCATTGACAAAAATGTTGACAAAAACATGGCCCGATGAAGGGTTTTGCGTGACTGTAGCTAAAACAAAAACATAACTAAAATAGGTGTTAATGACACTGGTGAAAACGAAACATCATTCATCTGACAAATACAAATGAAATTTAAAAAGCTGGATTTCATCCCTACAGAATACAGTCCCTGATAAGCTGCTGAAGAAATAATTTTTTTTTTTTTTAAATCACAGAAAAAGAGAACACCGAACTCTTGAGCACATAGCTAAAAGATACTTTGTTACTCAGGAATGCAGAAAACTAGCTATCAGGTCTTGTCTGAGCAGGAAATCCTTCAAGGTAACAGTCCACTTGAACTTCAATCTCACCATGATGTCCTTGAAAGTTTCATGGGCGCGGAATATCACAAGAGTGTATTTGGGCAACCTGAATACCTCATTGAAAGTAAACTTGCTACCCCAGTAATAAGTCTTTGATCATGACTGTGAATAACATGAAAGTTAAGTAACAGAACAAAATGTAGCAATTTGTCACTATTACTACATGCATTAATGGTATTAAGATATATAGAATAGAAATCAGGTATTGGCAAGTGGAAAGTAGATTCTGCAGATTGGACTGCAGTGCAGTCCATCACAATTTATGTGGTAAGATTACCCCAGAAATTATATATATATATATATCCTACAAAGGAATCCCCACCATCACAGAACTAGTTCTTAGCCTCACAGAAAAATATGGGAAAGAAGGAAGGAGAGGAGGAAATGGCAGATTTTTTCACAATTGTTAAATACTTTACCATGCCTATAAAACTTCCTATAACCTATAAAGCTGGCTTCTATGACATTTTGCAGTTTCCCCCAATATACTGATGCAAAAAGTTCACATGGAGGAATGTAATTCATAGCTGGCTACGCCCACAGCCAAAATGATGCCAAACCATACAGCCATTAAAGCCTTATTATCCCAAATTAGGACCAATTCATAGTCCATAACATTTCAGGCCACAACACCGCAATCTGAAACATTCAGAAGACATCGAGTCACCTCTTGGTCAGAGGCAGACATTTGCTTTACCTAGAAGGCAAAGAATGAAAGATCCTTAGTTCTGCCTGGTTCTTGTTTCATTTTATTGTTCAATGGATAACAATAGAGGGGGGGGAAAAAATGCCACAACTCCCAGCAGCCCATTGTTATTGTAGGCTGGAAAAAGTTTACAAAAAACTGAACCATAGGAGGACCATGGGAGAGCAAAACCAACTATGTTGACAGTATCTCCCACACATCTCAGCCGGGCTTTAACGTAGCTCGTTACTCGTCCACTACCACAACCTTGCTCCAATATTGTGACTGGGAGAACACAAAAACAGCAAATGCCTGAGTACTTAGTGTTCTAGTTCTCCCCTCCCCAAGGCTTAAATCTCTTCCTTATTCCACTGAACTCCACCTCCTCCCCACACTTTCATTTCATGGACTGAGATGGCAGCCCTTGTTCTCAAAGCTTTGGCACATTTCACATTTCTGGCAAAGAGAGACCTACGTGGGGCCAACACAGGAAAAAGGAAGGGACTGCACAGGCAAAATGGGTGTTGGTGGTGGGGGGGGGGAGGAATGTGACCGCCTACAGTGCAATATTACTGTATTACTGTTCTTGTGTATGACAGGAATGTTCTATGGTTGTCCTTATTTACTTGGATGTACCGGATTTATTATGCAGAAGGGTGTCCAAGTTGTTTAACTCGTCCTTTTAGCGTGTTTTTACAGCAACTGCAGGCAATACAAGTTAATTAAGTCATAATGTATTTGTCTACCTGACAAATTTCCCAGTAACCACAGAGACTTGTTTTTAATTGCTTTAATGCAGCTGTTCAGTGCATAATACTACAAAGCTTGGGACAAGCATCTGTCACTTTCTATAGCATTTTCTATATACATTTCGGTTATTTAAATAGACCCCTTTGAATATGTAATGTAGACAAGCAACGAAATTTTTGCGTTTCATCACCTTAGGGTGTAACAGGTCTTAACTAGACAGACTTCAGTCTGCTGGAAACAGTAACATCTGCATAACCGGCTACAATGAAAGTTAGACTAACATAGAAGGTTCACATAGAACATGCACACTCAAGGATCAGTCTGGCTTATCTGGATAATATTTTGGCAAGGCTGAGCTTACTACAGTATAATTTATACCAATTATTCAAACAACCTAGGGAGCTCCCCAATGTGAGGGATTTTAACCAAAAATAGGACACATAAAACAAGCCAATACAGGCTTAGACAACTGAATAGTACATCACTTCTGAGACTAGATTCAATGACACTTACATTACACAGCAAAATACCTCTTACCTATCACTTAAGTATAGATTATGTACAGCCGAATATTTCATATATTTTTTTGTTATATTATTATTTTTCCTTATATTTCCTCTATATTTTGTTATCATGCACAGCTGCTCGGAGTGACCAGGGTTACATTCCACTACATGTTGTATGTGTACAACTGTGTACGTGACGAATAAACCTCTTGAATCTTGAAATGACATTTTGTTACATCAATCCAGGATATTACATTCAGTTCTCGTACTCTTCAATACTGAGGGACACTACTTAATAATTTAAAAAGTTCTATTTTTCTGGAGGGACGACTGAAGCCAAATTAAATACACCCACCCACCCCAGCTCCTACGCCAAAGGCATGTGGACTAATTGAACAGAAAGATACTGCAGTTTGTGGTGGAAAACCAGTAAGAGATAAAAGGCTTCAAAGTAGAGCCACCAGCCTGAGGACGACTGACGCAGGTGACTGGCTGCCACCCGAAATCATATGATCAGCGACGACTGAGGAGTAAACAGACCCAGAATAAGACTTCTAGTGTTCATGCAATCATAAGACAGATGGTCACACTTTCGAGCGGGGACTGGGAAAGGGAAATCCCAAATAGTTTTATGCTGGCTGCACTTCTCTGCAGCAGGCTGCCTGTTCTTTGAACACAAATTATGTACAATTACATTGTTAAGTTCAACAAGTGGACTCGAAACTAGATGTGGGTGAGGCAAGACTCGATGTGGGTGGAGCTTCAATCCGAAACTAGATTAGGGTGTGGTTACAGTTAGATCTACAGTGCACAGGAGAACTCTGCAAACTCATACATACATACATACACATACACATATATATATATATATATATATATATATATGGGAGCATGTTCCTCTGGGACAGCCTGTTCGGTCATTTCAAAGGCAAGGATGAGGTGGCCACAAGTGGATGGTCTAATGCTACATTTCCCAACATCTGACCACTTCTGACAGTAGGCTGACCTACCCAGCTTTAAATCGTTCGCCAACTTAATCTTTCCGTGGGTTACTGAAGGTGTGGAAACCGCCATCCACAGGCCAACTTCATTCAACACGTGAACAGGAAAAGGGAGGGAGGATGAGGAAAAACTTCAGATTGCTATCCTGGGTATTGCAGTATCCTGTAACGCCTGGGGAGAAGTTTTCCCAAATGACCTCTGCTCTTCACATTCACCCGAGTCAAATCAGCTGGCTGACTAAAACACGGAGCGGAGAAACACACTGCTTACCTTCAGATGGACGGCCACCCGTTCGCAGTCTGTTTGTGGTCGTCTAGAGATCTGTAACCGAGGAGAAGAAAGGGGAGGGATAGCGGTCAGAGGAATCGGTGTCAAATAATCAGCTAATATCTATAGATAGACATCTGACAACACGATACTGCACACAGATTTCATAGCAAGGGGGACTGATTTTTATAGAATAGCTTTAATATTGATCTGTATCGTATAGCCGAAATGGGACAAAACCCAATACTAGTGTGGAGTAAAATGTGGCAACCTCATATCTGCCCTACTTCTCTTTTTCCTCTTGTTGGTCAGTTGCAGTTGAGTATAGCTATAGATTGTAGCTAAGCTAAGAACGTGTTAACAATAAGCGTCAAACCAAATCCACACTACAAAACCAAAATCCTTTGACAACAACCCCCACCAGTTGATTTCTCAATCTTCCCTTTTTCATTCTCAGAAACCTGCACCAAAACCTCATTTCATAACATGATGAATTGATTTTACGTCTAATCCTGCAGAGTGCTGACAAGGCTGTACACACACACACCTATTTCATCTACAGAACATAGGACCTTAAAGGTGTGCACGCCAATCAAAAGATTACGCTCCTTTTGAGCAATACTTACACTTAAAAGCAGCACATAGTTTCAGTGCACCAAACACAACTGTGCCTTGCTGATGCAATGCTTAAGACGCAATCAGTCAATCTTCTATAAGACAGGTTGAGTCACCCCATAATCCATGACACTATAGGTGTTACAGAAAAGCTGATTATCCATCAATCTAACGGCTTATCCTGGTAAGGGTCACGAGGAGGCTTATAGACCTATCAAGTTCACAGTTTAAGAACTGAAAATTAACCTATAAATTGTGCTGAAGGCCTTCGACCACGTGCTCTACCACAAGCTATAGTGGAAACACTCCCTCAAAATAAATAAATGCCGCAGCTGCTTTAGAGTGGCAGTGGGAATCATTACATCAGGTTCTTTTTTTACTCAATTCCTAAGACTGATTTCCTTCATATAACACACAAAAGGCCAGTTATTTCCATAATCATATAAACTATACACTGTGACCATATTTCCAAACCGATCAAACTCCCAAATCAATCAACATCAAATCAATCAAACTCCCAGTTGTCCCTTAAGGTAACCGAGCATATTTACTACACTAAGTCAACTCAAGGACTGCCCAACGCCAGGGCAAAGCTAATCAAAAAAACACTCAGTGAGAAGATTATTAAGTCCACCCGCTTGCTAATACAAACAGCCTAGCTTCTCTGAAGAGCAATCTATGCAGCTGCAACAGAATATATACAGCACATGACCAGTACCAAGAGCTCCAGTTACTATTCGAGTAAGAACGGCTACGATGCCTGATCTAAGCATTTTGGAGTGCTGCATGATTGTTGATGGTCCTAGCCTCAGAAACAGCAACCCTGTTGGAATTTAGGATTTTCCACAGACTACAAAGTTTAGAGAAAAACGGAATGACGTAATGAAGAAAGAGTCTAGTCGGACAGCTCTGTGAACAAAAACACCTTGTTAATGAGGGCGGTCAGAGGAGAATGGCCAGCCTCGTTAAAGCTAACAGGAATGGCACAAGTGCAAAAGTTACTAAGATAAAAAGCTTTTCTAAATAACTCATGCACAAGTTCTCGAGGCAGAAATGGATCCTGCTTGGCACTATCTAGGTGCACCTGAAGGGGCCAAACATTTAAAATCACGAAGCACGTAACAGGTGCTTAAAGAAAGTAATGAGCCGAAATCATATTCTCTTAAGATGTTGCTTTTATCCAGGATGGAGACGACAGAAAGCGGGCAAATGGAGCCAATAAATGTGTAGCCTCAGCAAAGACAGAGCACTTCAAAACTCAAAACTATCACTCTTATCTCAGAATAAAAAAGGTCCTTATCAGCAGAGGGTGTGTTTGTAAACAGGTGTGTCGTTTTCACTGAATGCTGGGCACTGATACCCAAGTCCCAACAGCTGCCAGGACCAGACTGTCTAGAAACTGTTTTTTTCCCCCACAGAACTGATTAAAGAAATTCCTACGGCATGTGTCAGCTATCACAGATCGGAGATGCTAAAGGCAACCTTCTTGACTAAAAAAAAAAAAAAAAAAAAAAAGTAACCTTACAGCAATATAATCTGAATGCTGCTTTGCCAACTATGGGTTTACCGCAAGTTGTGCAAGAGGCAGGAAATGCCAAGTGTCCGCACGACTGAGTCAGTAGACACACGCAAATGCATCACTACCAGCAACCAGAATCCACTGCCAGCCAAACAAACAAATTCTTGCACATCAGTATCTTAAAACATTTTTGCATGTCAAATTTAACCAAGCTGTACAGGAAGACAAGTTGGATGTTTCCAGAATGCCTCCCATCACCTTAAAGTTCATTTGAGCACCACGTGCAGAGACACTGCAACAGGAACCCTGACACCTAAAACAAGACTCATAACTGGGACCAGCCAAGTTCATTTTCTTTAGCATTTTACAAAAATAACCAATATTCCAATATGCTCGACAGCCAACAGGACTACAGGGCTGCAAAATAACAGCAAATGTCAACGTTTGCCAAGCCGTTAATAAGAACGTCATCCTGAAAACTGTCACTTAAGGATGGCTGTATGTGTTCTTTCCTTTAAAAGTTCTCTACTACCGCCACACCAAAGCAACGACAAAATGGCCCCCGCGCTCGCCCTGCCACTCCGCTCACCACGCCTCAGAGTGCCGGATTTTACCAGCACTTGTCACGTTCATGTTTGTAAAAGGGAAAAAAAAATGGCAGAAATTCTGAGATGAATGAAAGTGGGTCAGTGTTAAAAAAGGCAAAACGATAAAGGTGGTGGGAGGGGGGGGGGGGATTCTTGTACTTCATTTTCATATAGCGATTGGCGGCTGGTTGAGTTCAGGATCAGACTCGTCAGTGGAATGGGTATATTTACTTATTAAAGTAAATGCAATAGCACTTTTGTCAACAATGGAAACAGGAGATGACTGTCTGGATATCACATACTAGCACTTTACTCAACGTGCTTATCCAGACCAAATAATGGAGATCACAGTTTTACATGCTGCTTAAAAATACGCAAAAAAGTAACTTGATGGGGGAAGAGTTTTGTTTTTTTTTTCCCCACACACACACACACACACACACACACACCCCTTATATATTGTTTTAAAATACAATCTTGAACATCAGACAGTGTTTAAACTGCATCAGTTCTCACAAATGTTGTGAGACACAAATGTTTTAAACAGCACTGAAATGTGTGTCCCTGTGCAGATAAACCCCTTTTTAGAAGAATCCTGTGATTGCATAGCATTCAGTTTACAACTTGGTCTGGATTAAAGCTGGCACTAGATTTAATGCTGGAGTTCAAGCTGCATCTAGTGTTACAGCAAAACATACATTTCGCATTTCTGATCAAGAGGGGTAAAGGAGAAAAACATTCCAGGCCAAAACTGAAGTCCGACGTGACTGCATGCATACATTTACGAGGATCGTTTACAAAAACATGCACTCACTTGTTGCTCTCTCCGGCTTCAGAAGAGTACAACGCGAACAAAGACTTCTGTGTCCTTTCAATTTTTCCAGATTTGGATGCAATTTAGCACTGAATTCGACAGCTTTTCCACTTGGACAAACTATCCCTTGACATCATTTGAATCTGCCATCGAAAATAAAAAGCTAGGCTCTGCACTACAGTCCGGCTTTGACGGCCGGCAAAAGAGTTTCACAGTTAATGCTGTAGGACAGTCAGAGCAAGAGGGGAAAAAAGAAAAGACACTTATGACAGGCATTCAACAGCACCCGCCCACCCCTCCACTTGTGGAGATACACAAACACACGAGCTAGAGCAGCTGTTTATACTTCACACACAGGCTGGGAACATCAAAAGAGGACAGACGCTTACCTGTTTAATGCCTTCTGTTGACCCGGGAAAGGCGAGCAGAGATGCACATATGGTACAGGATGGAGACCTGGACAGGAAAAGTCACACTGTATTCACTGTATTGACACTGCCGTGCTCTTTACAAACATACATACAGTTTGTAAAAAAAATGTACAACTTCATTTAAGGGGGTATAGAGTTAAGGCAAAGCTCAAACTGCGAAATATCTGTCCAAAACATGAGAAGGTAAAAAGCAGGAGAGACACCATCACAAGGATGAAGGTGTGCGGGGTGGAGTTTGTGGGCCAGATGCCAACACGTCTGAATTTTACAGCGAAAAACTCAAGTCGCCTGTTACATTACAGCTCCTTGCAGGTCTTTCTGGAGCACAAGAGCTGGAGTTTTGCATGAAACTCGGGCCGGGCTCTTCAAGCAGGGATTCCGAAAATTCCGCTTTGGAGGTCATTGACCTCCGGAAGAAATTGACAGCAAGTCATGAGCAACATAAAGATACCACCACCTGACTTATGTAGTAACTCAGAGAAATGTCGTTTCGCACAGGATCCCGCTCTATGGGCGACGTTGGCATAGAGCGAAAAACGGTTCGGATTTCAAATACCGCATGCTTATAGGTCCAAGTAGCCGTGTGATTAACTGTATCAGGTCAAATTAATGGCCGAAGCCGAGAGACTCAACCACTTCCCTCTTTGGCTATAAAACTGCCTGGTAGTAAACACATAAGATTAAGGCATGTGCTGACCAATGTCATAGACCCAGGCTTCCACCCAGAGCCATACAGATTGTTTCAGAGCCGTCCAGGAGAAACGTGAGCTGCCTGCTGTCCATAAATGTCTCCATTGGCCAGGGGCAAGGCAGGAACTAAAATCCCGATTAGCTGCAATAAATACTGAAGATGAAATATTCCACAGTAAACTGTCCACTTATTGGCTGTGCCGTTAAAGCAAACTCTGGAGGGGAATGAAGAGACACGACGGGGCTGGGGGAGAAAATCCTTGCTAGGTTGGGGTTTTGTGCCAAGGGGCGGGGTGAGAGTAGATCAAACTCCTGCACTACGATACCACCCTCCCGTCCAGTTGGAACCTTGACCACATCCTCAGCAGAACTGGACCTGCCATCTTAGGGCTTAGGTC